AAGTGGTCGATGGTGTAGCTTGATCTGTTACTTGACGAAGTAAATTTAAAACAGGAATGGTTAGACTCGCTGTCACGTAGTTTGCACCGCTGATTTCTTCCGTGCCTTCTTTGAACGGACCAAGAAGGCCAATGAGATCGCGTATAATATGGAGTTGCGACGTGGTGATCATGTCTGGTGTATTTCTACCAGTTTTCGTAGCCATCAACCACAAGGTTCAAACAATGAGCCATGCAGGGAATTCTGTGATTATAAGCTAAGAAAAATCGCACTGCTGTCACTATATTTGCACCTCCATCAGTGGTAATGGATACTATTTTATCCTTGTCAATATTAAACTCTTCACAGATTTCTTCCCAGCATTCTTTGATGTACTGTCCCGTAGGACCCTAAAAAAGGCGTTCATATATTTTTACATTGTATTATAAACAATTGTGGAGGTAAGATAATGTTGATCTTATGAATTTCAACGTAGATCAAATAAATATACTTGTGATAGTTTCTGTGCACATAGATTTATATTCTGAAGAACAGGCGATCCATTTAAGGTGTCAATGAAGTGAACCGTCACTACTAGAAAACTCCTTGTAGAATTAGTAATTGTGAGTACTGGTGAAACTTAAAAAGTTAACTCATTTAGAGTTTATTTATAACCTCCTTGTAGTGCTGCTATCTGTTTTCTATCAACTGCGTTACCTGAAATAAATGATAATAGTAGTTGTTTAGTTTAACATTGATCTGATTTGTATAATGTCAATTAAATATATTTTATTAAATAACTTCTTTATTATTAGTATGGTGTGTTTAATTCTTTATCTCATAGAATGGATGAACTTTCTATTGCGGGCGTTAACCAAGCATTACAGTGTTAAAATTATTATGTTATTTTTTATTATTATTTTAAAATAGAAACCTTTTCTACAGGGCATTTAAAGAGGACAAGCGGTTTCGACAAACATTCACAAAAGATAAACTCATACTTTCATAACCTAAAAATATTATAGTATTGAATTGAAATATTGATATACTTCCATCTACACTGTTACTACTGTTCTCATTGCCTACTGAGTCTACTGACATAGCATCTTCGAGTTCTGGTTCATTCTCATTGCCAGATTTTGTTGACTTCTGCATGTTAAGTAATTGCAAATAAGCAAAATGGTGTTTTACTTTGAGATGGGTAGCTAAATTGTGGTATTTCCGCTTGTTTATATGACTTGTTGCACAAATTGTTCGTCACGGGTTCTTGGTTATTCTTTTTAAAGATTTTCCACACTGCCGACATTGCGATGGATGTGGATAGCAAAACAAAACCAATACAATTATATTCACACAATCCACTCACTCATACGTCTACACATACTACAGACTTCGCTGACTAACCTCAGTAAAATTGATTTTTATGAATGACAACACTCCGAACCTATACCGATTTACTTACTCATTCATTCATTCATTGCTCTCTTTTTAGGTCGCGTTCGCAAACAAGTTAAATTCCTTCGGTAAAGGGTAAAGTGAAGGATAGCTTTATGAAAAACTTAAGTGTGACTGAAATAGTAATTTATTAATTGACTTGGATTTTAAACGCGGCCCTATCGAGAATTGAAGTCGAAGAGGAGTTCATAAAAATCGAATTTGATATCCGGAAAAATATCGAATATCGATATATCAATATTTAAAATATCTACCATAATTATCGATTATTTATTGAAAATATATCGATATTTTTTCCAAGCCTAACCTTTATACAATGGAAAGAACATTTACTTCTGATAAAATTATATTTGTTAATATGATTCGCAATTTCGAAATGTTTTCTGTGCTTATCGACACGCAATGCTGTGTCAACGTGAAAAGCTGTACAGGATTCGAAGGAGCCATGTGTAACTATTGTTTAATAAATTTATTTAGCTAATATTACGTAAATATATTTCAGAGTGTCGTACAGAGAGTCTCTCTCTTTTTTCATTCATTGCTCTCTTTTTAGGTCGCGTTCGCAAACAAGTTAAATTCCTTCGGTAAAGGGTAAAGTGAAGGATAGCTTTATGCAAAACATTAATGTGTGACTGAAATAGTAATTAATTAATAATTGACTTGGATTTTAAACGCGGCCCTAATCGAGAATTGAAGTCGAAGAGGAGTTCATAAAAAAAATCGAATTTGATATCCGGAAAAAATATCGAATATCGATATATCAATATTTAAAATATCTACCATAATTATCGATTATTTATTGAAAATATATCGATATTTTTTACCCAAGCCTAACCTTTATACAATGGAAAGAACATTTACTTCTGATAAAATTATATATTGTTAATATGATTCGCAATTTTCGAAATGTTTTCTGTGCTTATCGACACGCAATGCTGTGTCAACGTGAAAAAGCTGTACAAGGGATTCGAAGGAGCCATGTGTAAACTATTGTTTAATAAATTTATTTAGCTTAATATTACGTAAATATATTTCAGAGTGTCGTACAGAGAGGTTCCATTGAAGCAATCTGCAATTACTAAAGTTGGTGCTGAAATTGTTGGAGCTGCAATGTGGTGGTGGATTTTGTGGCATTTGTGGCACGAATCTGAGCATATTACGGTAATTACTAGTCTATCTACATATATTAACAAATAATTTGTAAAATATTGGGACAAATTTTAGAATACCATCCCCTAATTTCGAAGTTAAAATAGGGAAGGGGTAAATGAGAAAGTTCTTTAGAATGGGAGTATTTATATTTTATTGATGCTAATTTATAGTTTTTAAGTTATCTGTATGCTTGCGAATAATTAATTACTAAAACTCGGGGGAAAAATCTTTTGCTTATGCCGGAATGTGAAAAATTGGTTGAACCGGATCATTTTATGTTGTTGGTGTTGTTGTAGCGACAGAATTCTGCCGAGTTGACAGTCTTTGGCCGGAATAAATGCGCGTCCGTTCCGGTTATGTAGACTCGACTGTCGTATGAACTGTTTTTATGTTGTATATTGGTGATGACCGGTTAGGTATCTCAATGAAACTTATAGAACAACTTTTTTTTTTGATAAGAACAGGCGTTTTTACCGTGACCCGACCGTCATAAGCCAATAACTAAATCGTTGACAAATAAAACGAGCTTACAGCCCTATTCAATTGCTTACAATTTCCTTATAGATTTGTGCTGTCTGAAAGCAACCCTTACAATACCAACAGTTGTGTTTGTTTTGGTAAATTATATAATAGTATCTCCTCGGGGTTAAAAAGGGTATGTACGGATATAAAAGGTTCTCCAGATTAAGAAGATATAGTTGCCGTAGAATTAGGATTTTTGAGATATTTGTATATAAAATTCAAAAATTCAACTATACGTTTTATAATGGAATTTACTCTAATATTTTTAACTTTTATATCAACTTACACTTCACTAATTCGTTTTGACATATTTAAATGGTGCAAAAATAACTATAATTCAATATTTAACACTAGAACTATCAAGATTTACCATATCCCTATTTCAAATAGGTCTATTTGAAAATTATAAACGAAAAACAAAATAATCTATATATAAAAATCATAACATTATCGTAAAATATTAAATTGGAATAAAGATGAAATGGTATAAATAAATGATGCAATCGGTCATTTTGACGTCAACTCGGCAAATTCTGCCGCTACAACAATAACAACAACCACCGGTTGGTAGTTCTAACGTTAGTAATATACGTTCAACACAGTAACAAGAGGGTTGTTGGTAATCAGTGTTACCTTATCTACATATTTGCAAAGGAACCAAAAGAAAATAAATACAGAGATATCATTTTGAAATTTTCATCAAAAATCTATAAAAATATATATGTATTATACAAAAATTAGGCACATCGTACAACTACATCCTATAGCTCCCATAGTAACAGTGAGTAATGGATCGATCGATTTTTTTTATTTTAAGGGTACCGGGGTGGTCTTACTAATAATAATACGATACAAAAGTATATTCGCATTGATTGTTGGCACTCAAGGCATACACAAATACACTGAAAAAGAAAGGCATGGATGAATCGGGGGGAAACGCAACTAAAAAACAAGTAAGGAAGGGCTAAGTTCGGATGTAACCGAACATTTTATATTCTCGCAAAATCAAATGGTATACTCGTTTGAGATTTCTTTGTGGATTGACTGATATTTTCGGTAGAAGGTCAACTATAGGCACTGGGGTCCACATATTTAGTACTTAGGGGTTTGAACAGTTTTGGTTCGATTTAGACAATTTTTGGCCGCAAGGTGGCATACTTTAATTGCATTATTCAGGCAAAGTTTTACCCCGATATAATCATTGTTACCTGTTTTGCATAGTGGAAAGTGAAAGAATCAGATGGAATTGAAAATGGTGTTACATGGGAAGTAAGCGTGGTTGTAGTCCGATTTCGCCCATTTTCGCACTATGACATAGAAACATGAAAAGAAGCTATAATAACAATTCACTGGAAACAAATGTTTTTAGCATCTCTATCGATGGTGCGAAAATGGGTGAAATCGGATGACAGCGCCGCCCACTTGTTGTTGTTGTTGTTGTAACGGTTACCTAATCCCCGTTTGGGTGATAAATTCTAGATTCGTTGTTGTCGAGGTCATCTAACGGAAGGCCCAGGAAACGAGCTGTTTCGACGGGGTCGGACCATAGGGCGAGGGGTGTTAGATGAGTGGGGTTTGTTGGGCATGCAAAGAGGTGGTTAATGTCATGCGGAGACTCATTGCATGTAGGACATGTGTTTGGTATGACAGGGTCTATTCTGGATAGGTAGGAGGTTAACCTGCTACAGTATCCAGAACGAAGTTGCGCGAGGGTCACTCTAGATTCGCGAGGCAACTCGAGCTCTGTGTATGCTATGGGTGGTGGTTTGACTCGTATTACGCCATTCACTGAGAGGGAGTCGGTGATGGTGTTAATGGCTCCACTGTGAATGGCGGTCAGTGCCTGTTTGAAGTTAGTTGCGTCCGAAGTCTGGTCGGCGTACTGTCTAATGTCGTCGACGTAGTCAAGGAAGGACCTCTTGATGTTCCTAGGAGGCGGCTCTGCTACAAGCAGGCGACTGCAGGGGTGGTTTCTACGAAAACATCCCAGCAGAAACTGCTTGGAGAGGAGCTCGTTATGTTCCTTAACCGGAAGCATACGGGCCTCACTATCTAGGTGTTCGATTGGAGACATCAGGAGCCATCCCGTGATAGTCCGGAGTGCAGTGTTTTGACAGGTCTGAAGCTTCTTCTTCTGCGTGTCACTGCATCCAGGCGACCATATTGCGGCTGCATTATTAAGGACCGGCCGGCCGATTGCCTTGTATGTTGCCAACAACGTTTCTTTGTCTTTTCCCCATGAGCTGCCGGCAAGCGACCTGAGGAGTTTGTTGCGGCTCTGTACTTTGGCAGTTATTGAAGTCGTATGAGGAGTGAAAGAGCACAGACTGTCCAAAGTGACGCCTAAAATTTTAGGGTTATTTACTGTCGGAATTTTTGTGCCATCGACTGAAATGTTCAGGTCCAGTCTGTACTCCTTCGTCCAATTTGTGAAGATGGTCGCTGTGGACTTGGTGGGGGAGAGTGTTAGGTTCCTTGCAGAGAAGAAGCGAGAAAGATCGGAGAGGTAGCCGTTTACCTTTGAACACATGCCATCGATTCCATTGCCCGACGTCAATATCGTACAGTCATCAGCGTACGAGGTCATTGAAATTCCCGCTGGTGGCTGGGGGAGTTTTGAAATAAAGAAATTAAACAGTAGCGGGGAGAGGACACCGCCCTGCGGAACCCCCTGTTAAATTTTCCTGAGTTTGGAGTTTTGACCTCGAAACAGTACGGATGAATGCCGACCGTTCAGGTAGTTCATAGTCCACCGCTTCAGCCGTGGAGGTCCTATCTTGGCCTCTCGACTGGAGTGGCAGCGCAGTGCGCGAACATGGTGCAGGTTGCACAGCCGTTAAGGCAGATGTCGCATTATTGCGTTGACAGCATGGGGCCACGTAACCCGTGGTCCACTCCCTGTGTGTCTTACGGCCTGAACAGGTCTTAAGATGGCTCCATCCATTGCATGTATTGCACCTAACCGAGGTGGAATTTGGATGGAGCCTTTTTGCGCATACGCAGCAGTAGAATTCCTCGGGGCCCGGGTTGGACTCGATGCCAGCACGGGTCAGGAGGATACGGAGCAACCCTGCTGCTAGGCGTTGCTCCAATGACGACAAACTTAATCTAAAACTTACCGATCCAAACAGGGTTAGATCGCCGAAATAACAGCCCTTGGCCGGATAAAATCCGGGTCAATTCCGGTATCGCAGAACCGGCTGTTGTGGGAATTGTGGGCCCCGCCCACTTTATTGGGATCTGCTTAACCGATTTCAACCAAATTTGATACATAATATTCCTCTCATATTTTTATGTTATAATACGAAAATTAGCGAAATCGGATTACAATCACGCCTATTTCACATATAACATCATTTTAAATTTTATCTGATTTTTTCAATTTCCAGTATGCAAATCAAGCAACAATGATTATATCGGCGTAAAACTTGGCGTGAATAATGCGTTTAAAGTATGCCACCTTGTGACCAAAAATTATCTAAATTGAACCAAAACTGTTCAAGCCCCTAGGTACTGAATATGTGAACCCCAGTGCCTTTAGTTGACTTTTTATCGAAAATATCAGTCAACATAGAACAAGGCGGCAAGATCCACAAAGAAATCTAACACGAGTATACCATTTGACTTTGCGGCAGTATAAAATATTCGATTACATCCGAACTTAGCCCTTTCTTACTTGTTTTTCGTTAATTTTGTAGCATAAAATAAATACCTAACTTCAAAATCCATTAAAAATAATTTAAATTCGTAAACGTAATAATTCGCCTGACCACTTTGAATTTCGCTTTTGTTAAAAAATGATCAAAACTTCAATTCTATTTTTTTAAACGTCCTGTTAGATTTCCAGAAAAACCCAGTTTGCCTTTAAGAAGTTTGGACATTTTAGAGACAATTTGATTACTTTTTCGCTTTTTTAAACATGATTTTTTTATTTTTGGCTTATAAGCGAAACCAATGCAATGGAAGGAAGTAAATAACATTAGTTTTTCGTGTAGAATTCCTTTCTGTATTGGTGGCCTTCCCCCCAGTCGGTCCAACAACGGGGTGTCTTCCATTCTTGGATGCGCTACAAAAAAACAATAGTCCTGGTAAGTCCAACACTAGGATTTATCAAGTGATTGGATTATGCGTTACTCACCACACGATTATGAATTTTGTATTGACGGCAAAATCCTTCTTTTTATTTATTTATATTAGTTTTCAAAATATGGTAACACTTAATTTTTGTTTAGCATGCAACCATTTTGTTATTGTATGAATAAAAGTTATTTTTCACTTTTTAATGCAAATCAAATGTGTAGAAACGAAGTAGTGAAGTTTAGTGGATATAAAAGTTAAAAACATAGGTGTAAAATTCATTATAAATTAAAGAAACAAGCACTTTAAATTGTTTATTTTTTTAAGTCTAAATTCAAATATCTTAAAAACAGCAGCAACAATATATTTATATTTTCCTAATCTGGAGAACTTCCTCTTTACATACATACAACTTTTAACCCCAAATTCGGAAGATGCTATTCTATATCTCAGCCGTTTGTTTTACCTTATTTCAATATTTATACATTGAACATGGTATATTTAGTTTGCCACGATATTTGTGACATCCAAAAGGAAACGTCAGATACCCTATTAAGTATATAATATATATAAGGTTGTCAAATATCTCCCTTTCGCTTTTTTGTCTTTTGAATTTCGCGGCTATGTACAAAGCGCTACAGAGCTCGTATCTGGCAACACTATACATAATTTGAAAGGTCTTGACATAACCTACAAAACAACGCTATGCATGATTAGTTTGGATATTGCGTTCAACAGTTATAGACGTGTAAACATGGAGTTCACTAACGCCGAAATTCGCGCGATTTTAAAGTTTTCCTTCGTTAAAGGCAAATCCGCTAGAGAAACATTCCGTGAGATTAATGGTGTTTTGGGGGAAACGACACCATGGATAAGCCAGCCGGCGGAAGACCTGTGACGACAAATACCGATCAAATCATGGAATACATCGAGTTAGACCGGCATATGGCATCTCGTGACATCGCCCAGGAGATGGGAGTTAGTCACCAAACCATTTTGAACCATCTGCAGAAGGCTGGATACAAAAAAAAGTTTGATGTTTGGGTGCCGCATAATTTGACGCAAAAAAACCTTCTGGACCGAATCAACGCCTGCGATATGCTGCTGAAACGGAACGAACTCGTCCCATTCGTGAAGCGGATGGTGACTGGTGACGAAAAATGGATCACATACGACAATATCAAGCGAAAACGGTCGTGGTCGAAGGCCGGTAAATCGTCCCAAACAGTGGCCAAGCCGGGATCGACGGCCAGGAAGGTTTTGCTGTGTGTTTGGTGGGATTGGAAGGGAATCATCCACTATGAGCTGCTCCCATATCGCCAGACGCTTAATTCTACCATCTACTGCGAACAACTGGACCGCTTGAAGCAGGCGATCGACCAGAAGCGTCCAGAATTGGCCAACAGGAGGGGTGTAGTGTTCCACCAGGACAACGCCAGACCACACACTTCGTTGATGACTCGTCAGAAGCTACGGGAGCTCGGATGGGAGGTTTTATCGCATCCACCATATAGCCCGGACGTAGCGCCAAATGATTACCACCTGTTCCTGTCCATGGCGAATGCCCTTGGTGGTGTGAAGTTGAACTCAAAAGAGGCTTGTGAAAAGTGGCTGTCCGAATTCTTCGCAAATAAGGAGGGGGGCTTCTACGAGGAAGGTGTTATGAAGTTGCCGTCTAGATGGAAACAGATCATCGAACAAAACGGCGCATATTTTAACTAAATCCGATCACTGTAACACTTTTTATAAATCATTGAATGAAGAGCAAACAAGCGGAGGAAGGGAGATATTTTACAACCTTATATGTAAATGATCAGCGTGACGAGCTGAGCCAATTTTGCCATGTCCGTCTGTCGGTCCGCTTGTATATATGCGACTAGTCCCTTAGTTTTTGAAATATCGATATGAAATTTGCATCCGTACTTTTCTCACCAACAAGCTGTTCATTTGACAGCCGATCGGACCACCGTTGCATTAAACTGCTATAAATTATATTTTTGGTTTCACTGAGTATTTATTATTTAATTATCTTCTTACATATAAAAATGAAAAACTATTTCGTTATGTACTCGCAGAACTTCCGAACCATAGCACGGAAAGACGTGAAAATTTGCATAGTCATCCGTTTATTCCTGCAGAAGGTCTTAACGGAGGACCCTTTTTTTTTGCAAAATCACGATTCGATTTTGCAATTACATTCGATGAATGTTAAATAAAACTTTACCATATAATTAGACGTAGATCGTGTGACGCGCCCTCTTCTACTCTCGTTCTGCACCGTTATACACAGTAACTACTATGTACAGTCGGTAAGTTATAGGTAAGGCACGTCGCTGATTAACATTACTCCTCACTTATTATATACATTACAATCGATTCCTGATTAGATTTTAATCGCAAGCGATCTCGATTGTGCTCTGTTATTATTGATTTCATTTGTTTGTTGTTGTTGTTGTAGCGATTATCTAGATTCTGCTTGAGGGAAAGTAATAAGTTAGCTATTGTTGTTGTTGTTTTAATGGTTACCTAGTCCCCGCTTGTGTGATAAGTTATAGTTTGGTAGTCGTCGGGAGGCCCAATTCCATACGAATTAAGCTACCAGCTTAACGTGCTGGCCTAATAATATCAACTACTATCTCCCATATACCTAATATAAGATTTTCAAACTTCTGGTTGTCTTTATACCGTATATATCGGTCAATGTCGATTTTTTTTATAGGAAAAAAGAGGAGAAGGCGCGAGCTCTTGGCTCTTACTGCTAGCAAATATTTATTCCGTCTTTTTGCTCACAACGCCATCTATTGGTTCGTTCAACGAACAAATAATATCGATATTGTGGTTTAATTCGATTATGTTCAGACTTCACAGACTTTGCATATTTAGGGTTAGAGTGTTGGCTGTTATTCTTGTTATTGTATTGAGCTAACGTTCTCGCGTTCAAGATTTAAAATAGTAATTCGAAAAAAACTGTAACTGGAAGCTCAACGCGATTATGCTTCTATATTAAATGATTGTGTTTTTATATTAATGAGTAAGTATGTCAATCGAAAACTTTAATTCATTGGCTATAAACTATCATTTTCACTCTGTAGCTGTAAAGTGAAAAATGAGTTCTTTACGTGAAGATTCCAAAGAAATAAATAATACTAAACCAACTGATGTTGATTTGGACATTACACCTCCAAAAAAAATTTGCAAAAACTAGCAATACTTAAAATAATTATAGTCATTCTTTTTAAAAGTACGATAATTTCGTTTCATGTACGATAATTCTACGCTACTGGTACAATAATCGCCTCACTTCAAGAAGTGAACACTGCACATATCACGAGTCAACAAAAACAACATTTTTTGTTGGGTTTCTGTTTTCATGCTTAAATTCTGATTCTAGATATTGAAAAACACTACAATTTTAATTTTTAGCTTTTAAAAATTAGCTATTGCCTTATACGAATGGGTCTGATTTGCACATACGAACATAAAAGTAATGGGAAAATTTTAGAATACCGTACCAGGACTTCGGTGTATAGAGGATGTTCTGCAGATCAAGTATATATATAGATGTAGCCGTAGAAAACTTATAGTAATTTCTTTTTTTTTAATAAAGTGGACTCACTGAATGCCACGGTCAACATTTGAAGTGTCTTGCAGCACTTTATTAATTTTTAACGAAAAATTAATACATATTCCTTCATCCATTTCTTTCATGAGTCAAAAGTCGAAATTGGCTTCTAATGCAGGCACATAATAAACATATGTGATATAACAACCTTTTTGAAGCCTTCGACGAATGGTTCTTGCGCTAACTTCGGTACCGACATCTTCAAATAACCAGTTTTATGTCCTCAGCAGTTTTGAAGCGATCCCTCAAGCTGCTCCATTCTATCTTCCCTTGAACTTTTCTTATTCTTTGCTCCAGAGCCAGTTTTTTTCTTAAGAGACCTGGTTCTATCGAAATTTTTTAGAAATTCTCCGATGGAGGACTTGCGGAAGCCAACTCTTTTATTAATTTCCTGAATAGTCAGATTTTTATTTCGCAAAATCAAAATATTGCTCTTTTGCATTTAGGTCATAATTTTTTAATTCGTCTTATTTAACTTTTAACGAAGCACGAGCATCTAGTCCAACCCGGGCCCTGAGGAATTCTTTTGCTGCATATGCGCTAAAAGGTTCCATCTAAACTCCACCTCAGTTAGGTGCATTACATGCAATGGATGGATCCATTTTAAGACCTGCTCACGCCTTAAGACCCATAGGGGTGCTGCCCCTATGCTGCCAACGCACTACTGCGACACCTGCCTCAACGGCTGTGCAATCTGCACCATGTTCGCGCATTGCGCCGCCACTTCAGTCGAGTGGCCAAGAAAGGACCTCAACGGCCCTAAGGAGCTCAAGGCAGCGTGACTCCCAGTCTGACCAACCCTCTAACTTAAACCTGATCCAATCCTCGTGCGAGAACCACTCAGCAACTCCTGGTTCCTCGCGCAGTTTGTTCCGTGTGTCACACCGTAATACGCCGGAACGTCACATCAGTCAAGTGCAATTCTTGCACTGGCTGGTGTCACTTTCTGTCGTGTTCCGGCCTGGGCACCAGATGTGAGTGGAGTGTGTCGTATGTTGCCCCATGCAGTAGGAGTCTGCCCCCGCAATCCTATTTAGTGGTGTCGCCAAACAACACCACAGTGCGACAACCGCCCATGCGGATATTACAGCTGCAACAACCACCACCTACACGTACCTCTCTCAAGCCCAGGATCACAACCGGACACACGCAACAAATGCGAATTCTACAATTTAACTGGAACGGACTCCAGAATAAGATCGAGGAGATAGCTGCATATATGAGCCGGAAACGCGTATCGATAGCTGCGGTCCAAGAAACCAAGCTAGACAGCCGCTTAGATCTTCTGAGTTGTGGAGGTTTCAACGTTTTGCGTAAGTTTCACGAGCGAGATAATGGTGGAGGCCTAGCCTTCATATTGCATAACACCGTGCAATATCGTTTAATCGATGGTGACATCGACCGCGGGACACTACCCTTGAATGTCAGGGTATAGCTGTCCGGTCAGGCGATGTCGAGCTCGAGATATTTAATATATACATCCCCCCAGTTACATGTTGCTCAACAGGATATCACCCGAACATAGGTGCGCTACTTCGTGGTGAAAACTGTTTGGTGCTAGGTGACTTTAACGCGCACCACGATCTTTGGCACTCCTGCGTGTCAAACGTCGTAGAGGGATGGAGCTGGCGGAACAGATAGACGATTCGACATTCTGCACAATCAATGACGAAGCCCCCACCAGAATTATGGGCACCTGTAATAGCTCGCCTGATATTACCATCGCTAGCGGTTGTCTGATAAATTGCATAACCTGGCGCCCTATGCCTATGCTAACTCTCGTATCAGACCATCTGTCCATAATTATCTCGATCGAGAAACCTCCCGACTTTATTTCTGTGAACAACCGCACCTTTATTAACTGTAACGTCGGCTTTATAGAATTTACTGAGAGCACCTTTAACGCGTCAATTCCGCAAGGTGATCACTGCTGCTACTGCTCGCTTCATACCGTCTGAAAGAATCGCGGAACCCCGCCCTAATTTCCCAGCCGAAGCAGCTGTATTAGCAAACGAGCGCGACACCTTACGCCATGCCGATCCTTGTGATCCCCGAATAAGGGATCTCAATTTGGAGATTTGGCAAATGGTAAATCAACATAAGCAGACAAAATGGATAGAGCACCTGAAGTCCTGCAATATCTCCACCGGTGTGAGTAAGCTTTGGACTACTGTCAAGGCCTTGTCTAATCCGAGAAAACATGACGACCGGGTTGAAATTCAATTCGATGGCCATGCCTCCTCGGACCCGAAGAAGTGCGCGAGCTATTTTAGCCGGTAGTTTACACTGCACCCTTCGACCGACAAGGCCAAACGATGTGTTACCCGACGGCTGCGCAAAATGCCAACAAACTGCGCACCACTTACTTTCACCGGTGGGGAGGTTCAGAGTGTCATCAAAAAGGCCAAATCGTCTGAATCCATTAGCCCTGACGGAATAAGCATGCTGATGCTAAAACATCTAGGCTCGACGGGAGTAAGCTATCTCACCAAGGTGCTCAACTTGTCGATGTCTACTCTTCAAATACCCGATGTGTGGAAAGTCGGAAGAGTGATCCCACTACTGAAACCTGGGAAACCCGCCAACAAAGGGGAGTCCTATCGCCCAATAACTCTCCTTTCCCCAGTAGTGAAGACACTTAAGGCCTTGCTACGCCCGACGTTCACTCACCACCTGAGTCTAGCAGACCATCAGCATGTCTTCCGAAAAGTGCACAGCACCACGACAGCACTTATCGTCATAAATGCCTAGATAATTCCAGAAGCCACCCTGCGGTAGGCCGATTCTCGTAGCGTTGGATCTGTCAAAAGCTTTTGACACAGTCAATCACACAACGCTGAGGACCTAGAACAATCAACGTTCCTTCCAGGGCTGAAGCGGTGGACCATAAACTACCTGAGCGGTCGGCATTCATCCGTACTCTTTCGAAACCAAAACTCCAAACTTATAACAATTAAACAGGGGGTTCAACAGGGCGGTGCCCTTTCCCCACTACTGTTTAATTTCTACATTTCGAAATTCCCCCATCCACCAGAGGGAATTTCCATAATCTTGTACGCTGATGACTGCACGATATTGACGTCGAGCAATAGAATCGATGGCATGTGCTCAAAAGTAAACAGCTACCTTTCCGACCTTTCTTGCTTCTTCTCTACAAGGAGTCTGACACTCTCCCCCACTAAATCCACAGCGACCATCTTCACAAGTTGGACGAAGGAATACAGACTGGACCTGAACATTTCAGTCGATGGCACAAAAATTCCGACAGTTAATAACCCTAAAATTTTAGGCGTAACATTGGACAGTCTGTGCTCCTTCACTCCTCACAATACCCCGATAACTGCTAAAGTACAGAGCCGCAAAAAAATCCTCAAATCGCTTGCCGTCAGCTCTTGGGAAAAATACAAAGAAGCGTTGATGGCAACATACAAGGCAATCGGCCGGCCGGTCCTAAACTATGCATCATCAATATGGTCGCCTGGATGTAGTGCAACGCAGACGAAGAAGCTTCAGACTTGTCAGAGCACTGCACTCCGGACTATCACGGGATGTCTCTTGATCTCCCCAATAGAACACCTGCACAGTGAGGCCCTTATGCTTCCAGATAAGGAACATAATGAGCTCCTCTCCAAGCAGTTTCTGCGAAAACACCCCTGCAGTCGTCTGCTTGAAGCGGAACCGCCTCCTAGGAACAAACAGCATGTTAAACTCCTACTTATCCAGAATAAACCCCGACATTCCAAATATATGTCCTGTGTGCAATGAGTCTCCGCATGATACTAACCACCTCG